CACTAGATAAATCATTAATTGATTCGAACTCGCAAACCTCACTAGGGCTATCGCCTAGTGCCCGTGTGCATGATGCTCCAATAGAATTTGAAGAGGAAGCCTCCAAAGCTTGTCGGATCGCCTCAAAGTTCTCTTGATGCGCTTCTATAAATTTTCGTAATGTGTAAGCTCTATCAAAATGAACAAATTTGTTAGAAAAGGATGAGTCAAAAGCATTAAGCAAATATTCTAACAAAAGCTTGTTCATATTAAACATTCTTTTATCATTACAAGCAAATTTGTTAGAAATAGATGTATCAAAAGCGTTAAGCAAGAATTCTAACAAAAGCTTGTTCAAAATAAATATTCTTTTATCATTTGTGCTTCAAATAGATTTATCTAATTTGGGCACAACATATGCACTATTAATGATTTCCCATAAATCAAAATGTCTAGATCTAACAAATATTTTAAATCTAGAACACCATTGGAATAAGGAAAAGCATTGAAAGAAAGAACAATATTAGGATCAAAGCCTAAACAAGGTACATAATGCATGTCCATAATATATGTATGTATATGCAAGCAAGATAAATGCAATCAAAACTAGATTAGCACAAAAGATAACTTGGATCTTTAACTCAAGGTGATTAGACCTTAGATCAAAGAGCACCAAGCTCTGATACCAATTTTTAGATCCAAGGGGGGTGGGATTAGGGTCTTATACTAATTTAATCTGATTTTATACTAATTAAAATTAATTAACAAGTTATCCTAACAAGTATGAAATATAACAAGATATGTGAGCTAGGATAAGTGATATACACAAGGGTAAACAAAATAAACAAGATAGTGGATGATATAAATAATGAGCAATGGACAATGGTGATATATATGGTGAATTATATGCAAGGATATATAAACTAACACAAGGGTAAACAAAATAAACAAGACAGTGGATGATATAAATAATGAGCAATGGACAATGGTGATAAGAAATATAAACACAAGAGTAAGTACGCCAATGCAAACTGAACTTTCAAAAACTTTGGAGGGGGTTTTTTAGGCTGTCTAAAAATCACAATAGATAGCTGATCCCCATCAAAACACCGATGATAGAAGTTACACTCTGACGACTTCCAGAAAGTTACAATCTGACGACCTTCGCAACAACTGATGAAAGCTCTAATCAACAGCCTTCACAATCAACATCGAGAGTTACAATCTGACGACTCTCACATATCAAAGAGCTAAAGCAAAGATTACAAAATAATGATCTTTCCAACGCTCTGACAAAAAGAGATTACAAATCGACGGTCTCTTCAAACCAAGACATGGAAGTCCTCCCCGCGTACCAGCTTCAAGATGCACCGCGTTCATAGCCACGAACGCAGCTCAGATGCAGTTTCCAATGCTGCCAACGCAACTTCCAAATAGCTGCAAACGCAGCTCAGACGCAGCTTCCAACGCTGCCAACGCAGCTTCCAAATCGCTGCAAACACAGCTCAAGCGCAGCCTCCAAAGCTGCCAACGCAGCTTCTATCCGCTACCAAACGTAGCTGTTAAATCTGCCAACGCAGCTTCTAACATGCTGCCAACGCAGCTTCCATCCGCTGCCAAACGCAACTTCCAACAAGATGCCAAACACAGCTTCCAACAAGATGCCAACGCAGCTTCCAGCCGCTGCGTCCGAGCTTTCAGACACTGCGTTCAAGCTTCCAGACACTGCGTTTGAATGCAGAATTCACACCAGAACGGGGATTTTGCATTTGGCTCATTCAAACACGAGCTGAACAGTTTCAAAACCGTTTGCCACGATCTGAGGGGATCATAACTCCACTCAGGAGTGATTTTAGGGGACGGTTACATCCCATTAGCCCACTTAGGAGTGAATTAAGGAGGTGGTTACACCCCTTAATCCCCTATAAATAACTGAAAATCAATTCAGTTCAGGGGTTCGGTCTGTTGGAACTTCTTGGCAGCAACAGAAGAGATCCTCGGGCCTGGCTTTTGGATCCTTCTCCTTGGCAGCAAAGAAGAGATCTTTGGCTTGTCTAACCAATTACGGTTAAGATCAATCAACTCATCAAGAGTTCTAAAACTTGCCACGCAAGTTCTCCACAACGTCAAATCGTGAGGAGAAGACCACGTTCCAGTGAATCAAGACGTTCGGATCGTCAACGGAGAGCAAACTCGACGCGAGCATTCGAGGGAGGCACTCCATCGCCACCGTAAAGACTTTTGGATCCTTCTCCTTGGCAGCAAAGAAGAGATCTCTCTTTCATAGAGTTTCAAACTCGTTCGATCAATCAACTCATCAAGAGTTCTAAAACTTGCCACGCAAGTTCTCCACAACGTCAAATCGTGAGGAGAAGATCATGTTCCAGTGAAACAAGACGTCAGATCGTCAACAGAGAGCAAGTTCGAAGCAAGCATTCGAAGGAAGCACTCCATCGCCACCGTGAAGAACCCAGAATTAAACAAAGGGGAGAATCCAGATCATTCTCCTCTCTTTTGTAATCAGGAAATCCAAATTGTAATTGAGATTAAAGGAATACAAATCAATTTTCCTTCATTTCTTTTTACTACAAATTTTCCACAAACAATGGCGTGCTGGAAGCCTTGGTTTGTTGGGGGTTTTACGTCCAATCTGAGCTGCTCTTGGATCCAACTTGCTTGTGTGTGGACATGTTTTGTTTAATTTTTGTTAAAGGGGCCTGAAACAAACTGAATCTGAAATAAACTGAATCTGAAGTAATCTGAAACAAGCTCACAAGCAACCATTAGAAAATGATACTTGTTGGTCATATTTTGTATAAACTGAATATGAGCTTGGGTTCTTTTTCAGGTTTATATAAATATGGATGAATATGGTACTTAATAGCAACCTACATTGCACGATATGTATTGGTATGGCTATTTTGTATTGTTCAATTTGGGCAATGATGATGGTCATATTATGAGAATGCAATCTACAATGTTTTGCTTTGTTTAGGTAGGACAATCTAGGATGAGAATGCAACCAACATTGTATTTACAATGTTAGGTGAGGCAATCCATTCATGTGATTGCAACCTCCATTGCAACATCATTGTTAGATGAGACAATCCATGTATTCAATTTTAATACCTATATCTGAGCCCCTACCTTGGTCCTATTATGAGTTTTCTAATGGTTCCTTGTCTGAGCCTTTGTTGTTTGAGTTATAGCTTGTTTCTGAGTATGTTTTTGATGGCTTGTGAGCTTGGTTGTTTCGGATTCAGTTTGTTTTAATGGTTGCTTGTGGGCTTGTTACTGAGCATTTTTGTTTCAGAGTGAGCTTTGAGCATGTTTGATGGCTTGTGAGCATGTTTGTTACTAACCATGTCAAGTGCATATTTCACTACTTTTGCCAACCATGTCTTTGAGTACATTGCTATCGGCGTGTATTCACCTGTGGTGTATGTGTCAACTTTTCTTTGCTTCAGTCACTCCCAGTGTATTTTGAAGGACAACTTGTTGATGCTTCTAACTTATATATTTATTTCTTCTTTCTCTATGATTTTAGACACATGTGGAACACCTTGGGCACATTCCCTAAAGGTTTGTTACCTGCCCCCATAAACCTGTTATCTATGGTTTGGTTACTTCAAATTTATTGGTAATCTCATTCAGGCCTTATATTTGTTCTATGTACTTTATTCCTTTGTTTTTCTTTAAGCAGAAAGGCTTGAACCATACTAGCAAGTTATGAGGATCTCTAGCAATCCCAATATACCCTGAAAGAGAAAGACTTCATCATATCAAAACAGAAGAAAACTAGTTTGCAAAAGTCCAAATATTTTCATATAAACTTAATTTTTTTCTTAGGTTCTTATCTGAGTCTGTTATAGTATTGGTGTGTTTGATCTTTGGCTTGTAAGGATCCAAACGTTGAGTGTATAATTTGTTTGAACTTCACTGATGATTGGTAATTAGTTAAATTGCTTACCAAAAAGAAACCCCAACAAGGTTTTAATTCTATGGATTATGTCACTTGTGTGTAGTTCAGTAGTATTTAGCTTTGCATGCATTATGTCCCTTGAGTGGAATTCCCTTATTAATTCATTTCATGCTCACTCTCTATCACATTTTCTGAAATTCCCTTATTTTGTTCTTAAAACTTAACTTTGAACATCTTAGCTACAATTTAGGATTTTCTTCCCATTTTGATATTTGGCTCCTATTACTTCTTTATGATGAGTGGAATTCCTAGAATACATGTCTAGCTATAGTTAACACTTGTATCTCTGTTAGCTTGGTTGTTTCAGATTCAGTTTGTTTCAATGGTTGCTTGTGAGCTTGTTACTGAGTATGTTTGTTTTAGATTCAGTTTATTTTCAGCTGCTTGTTTGCGGCTGCTTGTTTGCGGCCTTGGTTAAAGAGGATGAGATGCTATTAAGCAGCAGGAAGGTTTTGTTTCAATTTTTACATGAGGGTGTTGTTGCATGTGTTATTGGGTCAATCTTTCTTGTTTGCGGCTGCTTGCTTGTGTTCTTGGGTCCAACTTGCTTGTGTCTGGACAGGTTTTGTTTAATTTTTGTTAAAGGGGCTTGAAACAAACTGAATTTGCACATTGCATGTTATACAATTGTATTTGTTTTTTTTTTTGGGAGGTAAGCTCACCAAAATTCTTATATTCGCCATTTATTATTTTGTAATCATAAAACTTGTTTCTTACAACTATGGATTTCAAATTCTAAAATTTGTAATGCTACAATTTGAGTTTGAAATAAACAAGAATTTACAAATTATAGCATTTTAAATATTAAAATATTAATAAAATAAACACAGTTTTAGAAATCCCAACCCATAACAAAAAACCAATATATTTCAAATCCCATGTTGAAATCCATATTCTAAAATTATTGGATTTGAAACAACACCCCCTTTTATAGGACCAGATGCAACCGATCCGCCACTGATACCTCATACAGCCTTAGGATTGTGGAAATGCGGCTTTCCTACATCGATTGGTGCGATAAAATTGAAAGGCGGGAAACTAAAACCTTCTTCTCAGTACCCTATCTATCTTCGTCTTCTTTCCTCAATTTCGCCATGGGCATTAAGGTTAGGGTTTCGATCGGTCAATTACAGCCCTCTCTCTTTCTCTCTTTGATTACTAGTGTTGATCCTCAGTTTCTATCTTCTATTTTGGATTCTAGGGTTTAACGAAGCTGCTGGCTGACAACGCCCCAAAGGCCATGAAGGAGCAAAAATTCGAGAGCTATTTCGGTCGCAAGATTGCCATCGACGCTAGCATGAGCATCTACCAGTTCCTTGTCCGTTGTTTTGTCTTTCTTTTTCGGTTTATTTGCACTTTAATACCCCAAAGTTTCGCCCTTTTAAAGTTTGATATGTTGAAGTTCTATTTTTGACGATTTGATTACGCTGAAGTTTAGAAATTGACGTTAATTTGACAACTTGATACTACAAAGCCCTAGATTTCTTTCAATACGTACCCCCAAACTCATAAGAATGAAATTTGGTGGCGAAATGGTTTATTGTTCACTGTTCTAAGTTGATATTCTCGAACAAAATTAATGTCAAGTGCGTTGTATATTGTGGTATCAAATTATCATATAGCACTTGGATATCGAAGCATAAGATGGTGAAATTTTGGGGTATTGAAGTGGAAATAATCCTTTCTGCTGGGTTTAGTTTCTAAAACTTGTAAATTTTCTTTGTTGGGACAAATTTGCTAAATTTCCCCTCTCTCTTTTGTATTAGATTGTGGTGGGAAGAACTGGAACTGAAACTCTTACCAATGAGGCTGGCGAGGTTACCAGGTTAGAAAAGTTCCATTCTTTGCTTAGTCATAACACTTTTTTCCCCTTATTTTTCCTCTCCTTTTTATGGTATATCACTTATTTATGTGATTGTTGTGTTGGCAGTCATTTGCAAGGAATGTTCACACGCACAATAAGATTACTAGAGGCTGGAATGAAGCCAGCGTAACTTGTTTTTTTTTCCGCTTATCATTTTCTCTTAGAATTATTCTTATTAGTGGACCTATGGGTCCTTCTTTTGTTGCCTCCTTTCGTTAATTTAAAACTAACGTTTGTTTCAGATTTGTCTTTGATGGTCAGCCACCTGACCTGAAGAAACAAGAGCTTGCAAAGAGGTGTGTCATAGTATTTTTTTGTAACCAGGTCTCAGATTCAACTTATTATCTGAATTATCTTTAATATCTTTGTTCGTTATCGTACCTTCTTAGGTACACAAGGAGAGAGGACGCGACCAAAGACCTAAATGCAGCAATTGAGGTAATTGGCATATTTTGTCACATTATATTACAAGCTTCCACTTTGCTTCACCAAGAGCTCTTTATAGTGTTCTTGTTGATGCTGCAGACCGGAGATAAGGTGGAAATTGAGAAATTCAGCAAAAGAACTGTAAAGGTAGTCCTCTACTGCCTCTCACCCACATTTGAATTCTCAAATTAAAATAGCGGATTGGTATTGTAGCACATTTTCCTAGCTAGTCTTGTGACATGGTTTGCACTAGTCTTTCTTTATTTGTATATTTCAATCTTAACAGAAACTGGTCTTTTATTGAATATCAACAATCTTGAGTTCATGTACAGTGCTATACTTACTCTTTTCTAGTGTAGTATTAGTTATTACACAGTGCTTTGCATATAACTTCCGGAATATGAATTTGATGACTTTCTTGTTTGCCTTCACCAGTTTACCATATTCATGCAAGTGTCAATAAAGTAATCAATGGACAACCAAGCTCTACACTTAAAGTTCTTTCGCATAACTCCTTGTTTATAGTGCACACTGGGTTTATTTGTTCTGCTTCTCACCGTTGTCCATGATCAATGCTATTTAATTTGCCATGTTCTCCAGAAATTAGAAGCCATATTATAGAAAGATCAAAGATGTAATTTAGAGCTTTGTGAGTTAGTGACAGAGAGTAAGAACCTTTATTAAGAATTCAATTCCTTGTTGATGGAGACAACTCGGTAGAAATAACTGCAGTGTATACAACAGCTCCACGAATAAGAAAGTCACATGCTTAATGAACCCACGACCTATCTCTTGAACGTTTGAGGCTTAAAATGTTGCTTCCTTCATTTCTGCGTATTTGTTTGCCCTGAGGTTAAAGACTTTTACTGCATGTTAGTGCCGCTCAATTTAATTCTGCCAATGACTGCTTCATTTATTGTTTATCTATGTCACGCTTTTGTTTATAGCTGCCATGTTTCTGATGGGATCATATATGTTGCAATGTGAAATCGATATGATTGTAGTCGCTGTGTTTTTTAAGGTATTATTAAAAAAGCAATGTTTAAAGAAAATAAAATCTCGCAAACTAACTTCTTACTTTGAATGGTTGTAGGAAAGTTGCTAATTACAATAACATGATATGGCTGCCAATTTACTCTTCACAAATGTTCTATTCCAGCTGATTTCCTTGCTTCACATGTTTCAAGTATACACACACAGGATCTGATTGAATTGTTGATTGATCCAAAACAGTAATGCTTCCAATTTACTCTTCACAAATGCTCTGCAACTGCTTTTGCTGGTTTCCTGCTGGTTTTGCTGGGTCCTAGTGCTTCCATTTTTCCATGCAGTTGCCTAATAACTCCTTTTGTTAGGCTGTTTGAATCACTATATGTTGGTTGAAGGTCGTTAGCCTTTTGGCAATTTGATGTTTTAGGAACCACTTTATCTTTCTCACTTTGGTTCTTCATATATGGCAGGTGACCAAGCAACATAATGAGGATTGCAAAAAACTTCTGAGACTGATGGGTGTCCCTGTGATTGAGGTGATAAACATAAGTTAACGTTATTTTTGTTGTCTTCGTGGATCTATATATGTGCTTCAAAAATATAATTTGCCCTCACCATAAAAAAGGGTGATACCAAGTTGGAAGGTCGCTTTTCCCCATCTAGTGCTTTGCTATGTGTCATAGTTTTATAGTACTTTACAAGGACTGCTTCATTGAGACAATGCTTATTGTTGGTATACGATAGCTGAAAGCCTGACACTCATTAAAATTTAAATACACCTTTTGGGGTTATTTGGGGAACTCATATTTCATCCTAACTCCTGATCTACCTTTTTTTACAGGCGCCAAGCGAAGCAGAAGCAGAATGTGCATCACTTTGCAAAAATGGCAAGGCATGAAATGTACTTACATGTTTTTCTTCACTACAAATTAAAATTATATCTCTAACTTCATTTAATACATTAATCTTTAGGTGTATGCTGTTGCTTCAGAAGATATGGATTCATTAACCTTTGGAGCCCCAAGGTTTCTTCGCCATCTAATGGATCCAAGCTCCAAAAAGATTCCTGTAATGGAATTTGAAGTTGCTAAGGTGCCTGATTCATGGATAAACTTCTGCTTGCTAGTTTAGTCTGAGTGGATTTCTCAGTATTGTGATGTTCCAGGTTCTGGCAGAGCTAGAACTGACCATGGATCAATTCATTGACTTGTGTATTCTTTGTGGGTGTGACTACTGTGATAGTATCAAAGGTAAGTGTTTTTTTATTATTTCTTTTAAGCTACAAGTTTGCATCTTGCTAGACATTATCTGTGGCTTTCCACTATTTTTGTTTGAAGTTTTTTCAGCTTGAATTGAAAAAGTTTGTGTATGAGTAATTAGTAATTGTCCAATTGGCAGATCAATGCATGAAAAATGTGTTCCTTAAATGCTACAATAAATAACTTATTAGTCTCTTGTAAGCTATTATTGAAATGTATTCGCCATGACTTCCAATTCTCAGGGTGACCTAACAAGTGGTCTGTTTATTTTTGGAGTATTCATTTGTTAGTGTTTTAAAAATAGGCTGATTTTATCGATTTATCATGGATGTATAGGGTTTGGGTTATGGCCGATACAATTTTTGCAAAAATATATTGCATACAGTTTTGGGCCGATTTTTCCGGATATATCGGTGTAAATCCGATAAAGAGGCCGATTTCTTGTGGGCTAAAAATCATTCGATTTTCTACAATTTACATTCTAAGTGAACTGGTTTGGGTTTGGAGACAAAAACCCTCTTTTTTCGATGCCCAACCCGCATACGCTAAACAAAAACAATGCTATTCTATTCTCTGTTGCATCCACTAAACAAAAATAATTGGTAAGTGATTCTAAACATGTGTTATTTGAAAACTAGTATGTTGATTTTTCATTAGATGTGCTTAGATTATATTTTGAAGACATTATATTATATATGCTCACCATCCAATGTAACACTCTGATTTTTACTACTTATTCCCAATATATCCCGATAATTGGGATCCGGTAGGAATTTTAGCCGTCTGATATATTTCCAATAACCAATACTTAAAACGTTGTTGGTTAGTACCTAGCCTCTCCCAAGCTTCTTGACCAAAAAGTCTTTCATTTCCTTCAACTGAAAAGACTGGTATGTTCTGGTAATTAGTTTTGACCTTTGCTTTATTTCCAATTCATTTTCATGGATTTCTGTTTTATGTACTTTTGTTTTGCTTTGCTTCTTGGAATATAATAACAAAAGTTGCAAAATTCACCTAAGATCTTTGTTTTTCTTTCCCCTGAACGTAGTTATCCTCTTGTAGCCTAGTCCTGACATGTATAGTCAGGCATATGATATATGGACTCCATAAAAGGCAGCAATCTTTCTTTCCCTGTGATGTTATAAGTATAAAGTGGCTCACTGTGCTTTGAATTTAGAGAAATGCCCAATGCTTTCTCTGAAGTTTTACATTAGTTTTGCTCCAGGATTGAATGTCTACCCCTGGGTGTTGCCTTTGAGATACACATGTATCCCCTATTAGAAACCCAAGAGCATGAGATTGTTCTTCATGAAGTTCACGTCTATGTTATTCTGGTCTTCTAGCATTATTTAAAAAATGGTACAGCTGTTGCACAAGGTTGCTATTTCTTTCCTAATGACTGAAACTAAAATCTAGATATACTTGTATTTGCGCTGACAAAAAGTTTCTGACACATTTTGTTGTATAGATTTGGTAACAGCCTTGTTCAAATTTGTCAATCAGACTTTTAGTGACTGACATCTTAGTTTATACATGACTTCCGATTATGCCACTTTCAATGCATAAACAGGTGCACTAAATCATAGTTTCATCATGATCATTTTCTACCATAAGTTTTGCATGTGATATGTGTCTTATTGTACCTGTTAACAAAAACTCTGCTTATGCATATCTTTGAAACAGGTATTGGGGGGCAAACAGCCTTAAAATTGATCCGTCAACATGGTACAATAGAGACCATATTGGAGAATATAAACAGGGATAGGTACGTTAGATGATCTGGTTATTTCCTTATGTAATGTGAAATATTTTGTTTTGTGATTGTACCTTTGTTTTCATTTCTGTATGTTTTAATCATGCTGAAACATAGTGCTCTGATGCGATAACCTTCCATATTGATATACCTTTTAGGATTATATCTTGGATTTCAATTTAGGATTGCTTATTCAATTTAAAATTTGCTGACGTAAAAAATTTGGATAAAGACTTTCTTCTTTTTGTTGTTGTTTATTAGATTTAAAATTTAATTTGTCTCTCCTAGTTCTATAGGGGTTCAGATTAGTGACTTAGTTGATTCTAAATTTGAATTTGTATCATTAGTCTATAAATTAGTGTAGATATTCCTGAAATTTTTAGATTTTAAGTAGAGAGATTTACTTTAGTTTTTGATGAAAATCTAATGATTATAGTGCATGTGATTTGGATATTTGTGAGGCCAAATCCTATGCCTTAGAAGGTGTGATTCCTCTCGATACTCATTAAGCTTCCTTTTCTTTTCTCTTGTTTTCCTGCAGCAAACAGTCACTCCCATCTTTCTTTCTTCTATACTCTCCCAAAGAGCTGCACAAATCCAACAACTAGCCATACTTACCCTGTACCCTCTCTTTTACTCTCTATCCTACCACATCCAGTCCCAAAACTCCACATCCAGAAGCCTAGACAAACACTAGACGGCTCCCAAAAAAATGTCAAAATAGTCCCACTTCTCTTTCCTTCCTGATCAGTACTCATCTCTTCCCTACCTCCTTACTTTTTATCAGTCTCCCACACATTCCTCTTCAGTGAGTGGAACAACCTGAATTATATGATGAAATAAGTGTGCAATAAAGGTAGAATTGACTAAGCGGAATTCCAATGCAACATCAATAGTAAATTGACCATCTGGCTTCACATGTGTTTCATTAGACCAGGTTTGTATGATGACAAAGTACACTTCTCAAAATGTTTTCAGTATCTTTTCATGCAAAACTTCCACATTTTCCCACATTCGTAAACATGATACTGATATGGGTATATCTGTTCCACGGATATATGATCTCATAAGTTGACATCTTGACTAGCCAGACAAGCTGACACTCTTGTGTCGACATGAAAGGCGATGTTGGTCGGCACGAGAGATCCTGACTTCCCCGACGAGTCGACATCTCTATATCGACTCAAGAGACGGTTGTTAGATGGGACAAGACGACATTCCAACCAGTCGGGCAAGCCGACACTCTTGTGTCGACACGAAAGGCGGCGTCAGTCGACATGAGAGCCAGCGACTCGAAGTCTTGAAGACACGTCAGACTGCTAGTTACCAATGTTGCTTAAGTGACCTCCCGTCACTCACTACCCAACACGTGTAGAGCAAAGGATAACTCAACTTTCAGCTCACCCCTCACCACCGTCTTATTGTACTTTCATGAAGTGACCAATCTGCCCTTAGCATCCCCTATAAATATAGATGCTATTCGTCATAGCCAAAGGTTCGCAATCTAAAACCCCCTAAAGCACACATTGTACAAAAATAAGAACACAGTTCTTTAACCCCACTCAAGTTCATCAATTGACTTGATCGTTGGAGGTATCACGTGGGAACTCATCCTCGCCCTCTTACGACTCTTTTTGTGCAGATTGCTCGACCATCCTAATTTCAGAATCCGGCATAAAGTCGAAGAAGAAAGCGGTCCCTCTTTTTTTAATATAAACTTTATGACTTTAATTGCTTGTGTGATATTTAGCATCAACAGTTTGGCGCCCACCGTTGGGCCCTTTGTTTTTCTGAGAAGACATGTCAAGTTCTGAACAAGGGTCCGATTCTACCCACCCTGAAGAACAACATCAGAGTTATATCATCCAAGCTAAATGAAGTCAGAAGTTGTATCATTCAAGCTAAGGAGGGTTAAATTTGGCTAAGAGGAACCAACATAGATGTAGTCTTCGAAGGCCTCAGCGACTTATCTGGGGAGTGTTTGCCAAGCACACCATCTGCTAGATGGTAGAATGACATTCAGCCCCTCTAAAAACCCTTCAGAAGAAGACACCATAAGGGTGGTTGTCTTTCTTGAAAAGCAACCCTGGTTTCTAATCGCCATCACAAAATAATTTTGGTCAGAACATAGGATCTGATCAGGCTAAATATCACTTAAGCTTCAACTTGTAATAGCTCATATGAGCATAGAAGCAGTGATTAAGTCTGTGATAGGCGTCTTGGACCATGATGACTTTTTGAAGGGAACTCCCATATATCAGGGATGAGATCGCGGGAAAAGCTTAAGGCCTGTTAGCTGATTGTCTTCTCAAGAAGAATAACATTGGCCCTTTAATTGACGCCTGCACCACTAAAGTTGTTTAAGCTCTGGTGGTCGGAACATGCGACCCGCATGATCCCCATAAGAAAGAGTTCTCCATTCACAGTATGGTCCAACCCCCAATGCTCCCGATGCTCATTTGAGGAAACCGTTATGGTTTGTCATTTCCAGTGAGTATAATACCGGCTGGTAGATTCTCTCTCCAAGAGAATTTTTACCACAAAAGGTACCATGTAGCTTCTGATCGTGTCCCCAACCCTCGCGAACCCGACTTGAAAAACGCCATTCAACATGATTCGTGATGTCTGGACAGTTCCTTTTGCTAAAAGCCGGCATGCTAACCATCCGCCTTCAAGGCCTTACTGAAGATTTAGATTCAAAAAGAACATTGGCTGATGAGATGGCAAATAGAGTTTCGACTCATCTTCATCTATCATTGAGTAGTCTGCTATACAAAAGCAAGCAAAATCCAACTAAAGAGGTTTTATACTGGCAGCCTCATCCATTACAAAACTGCCTTTGAAACAGAGACAAAGCAAGATCACAAGTGGTTTAAGCCCCTTTGAGCATCAGATGCCTACAATGGATATTTTCATGATCATGTAAATTTTAGAACTGATGATTATTAAATATGAATTAACTCTTATCTCACAGGGATCAAGGCTTCACTATGGCTGAAGACCTAGTCGAACCCAAGGCACAACCCTTTGGCCGATTCTCACAGCCGTCTCTCAGCTTTAGGGGAAGGAAAGACCTAATCGACTCTCTCGAGCCTAGGCGTTCGACTTCCGAGTCGGATTTTAAGCCTTTAGTACCTTATCAGGAATAAACCCAAGACACAACCCTTTGGCCGACTCCCCTAGTCGTTTCTTGGCCTTAGGGGAAGGAAAGACCTAGCCGACTCTCTCGAATCTAGGCACTTGATTCTAAAGTCGAATTACATGCTTTTAGAAAATCTACAAGTATTGATATTGATTGAGTTCTAAGCATTTCAGAATTCTATCTAAATAAAAGAATCATAAACTCGAGATAAAATAGATTCTTTCTAGATCAACACTGGCTGTTTATAGTCATACTAAAAACACCGATAACAAGCAAAAAAAAGAGGGAAGTCTGGGAGAGGGCACAACAAGTTCTCAATTATCACCGTCCGCAGGAGCTTCTTGGGGTGGAACGACAGCTTCTTGGATAGCCGCAGGTTCCTCCTCTGCACCATCTGAAGATTCGTCTTCATTATCCAAGATTAAGTTCAGTCCCCCTCTCTTCGCCTCGAATTCTTTTAGAAGATCGAAACACGGGAGACTAGGGAAGGATAATAACGATCAAGAGGAGGATGTGAACTAGGAGGTACCAAGGAGACGAAGTAATCAACCCCAACTTTAATTGCTAAGACCACCTCGGTTTTCCCTATAGAACCGTGACGCCAATCTTCGATTATTTTCTCCTTGTATTGCTGCGAGTCGAAATGAGCAAGTTTATCCTTTAAGTCCTTCACCATGGTGAAGGACGCTTGACGACTCGACTACTCTTTCTCGAGATCACGCCCCAATTGTTCGATTGAGAGATGACTCGATCGAACTTCTTCCTCGACAACTATTTTCAGACCCCTTTCAGATTCTGCTTCCTTAGTTAAAGCGACCAGCTGATCGTCTCGTTCTTTGATCCCTCGCTGGAGACGATTAATCTCCCTCTTTTGATGAGCTACTTCTCCCTTTAGATCTCCAATCATAGATGTCTGCTTATCACTCTGAGACCGAAGCCCTTCGAGGACTGTCTCTAGCATTCACTTTTTGGCGCCAGCGAGCTTCGATACCGTTCAGCTCAACCTCCGAGGTGTTGATCCTCTTCTCAGCCTCCTCCTTAGTCGCCTTCTCCTTTGCTATCTCCGATAGCCACCCTTGTGAAGCATCATGCATGTGCTTAAATCGCTCATACAGTTCTTGCTCCACTAGCGCACCTCAGACTAGATGAGTCTTGAGAGCTAGATGCAAGCTAAAGTTTGGCATCCTCTTCAAGACACCCTCATCATTGGGAAGGGAGAATTTTTGTACGATCGTGATTGGAGCCGAGAGGGATCCCAGAATGGAAGTCTCTTTGTCAAGATATGCAGACGGGATGAACTTGTCGCCCTCGGAGAGCTCTTTCCTTGGTGAGCAAGGGCCTAGTGGCACTCCTGCTAGCATCGCTTTGGCTTTCTCCCAATCTTGAAAATCCACTTCCGAGATCCAGTGAGGGAAAGGCCAGCGACCCCTGACTTTCTTCGATCTCATATTTCCCGATAGTTTCTGCTTAGGGCTCGGGGAGGGGTGCAGTTTCTTCAGTCATTTTCCTCGCCGACTCAACCGGCTCTTTGCCTAGTCTATGGGACGATGCCGACTCAGAAACCAGGTCGATAATTTCAGTACCTGCCATAGCATCGACGGGTTTAGTTGATCCCACCACCTCCTTAGCCACCGGAGGAATAAGGGGATCTTTAGCAATGACCTTATCCCCTTCATTGACTCGAGTGCCCGACTATTCTTCAAATAGCCCTTGTTTTGTAACAGGGCTCACTCGGGGCGCCTCAGTAACTTGTGTTGCAACTGGTTGATGACCGCGTCTAATCGCTAGTTTCTTAATATTTTTCCCCTTTCCCAGTTGGGCAGCCAATTCGCTCATCCGAGACCTCAGCGCGGATGTCTCTTTAGGGTTTAAATATCCCCTCGGCCTCTTTTGGGGCCTATTAGCGGACCTCGACTCCTCGTCTTTAGATCTTACTTCCTGACTTCTAGCAAGACGGAATGTCAACATGCTCGCCCTAGCTTGATCAGCTTCAGTAGGCAAGACATGAGATGTGCGCCACTCGAAGTGACGCTAAGTCAAAGAGGTTGCTCCTCTCTTTAGATCCAGTATAGGATTGGATCTTCTCTAGTTGTCGTCTTTTCTCAGCTTCGAGGGACTGAGTTTCAACACATCTTTATTGATCTCAGGCCACTCCGAGCATGAGAGAGTTTCATCAGCCCCGAGAACCCAAAAGAAATGTCCTTTCCAGTCCCTATTGGACTCTGGAGCATCTGAGACGATCTTGAAGCTGCTTATATAATAGAAGAAGTGCGGATCCTTTTTGGTTGACTTAATGCCAACCAAGTGACCGAATAAATTCATAGTAGGAAGAACACCTACCCGGAAGCAAATGACTATGAAAGCCTTCAGAATCCCTATTGCATTCGGGACGAGTTGAGAAGGGGAGATCCCCATAGCACCACATGCATCCTTTACGAATGGATGAAGAGGCAGTTGAAGTCCTTGATCGAGGTGGGCCAAGTATAATGACGCTTTGTTGGGACCATGGCGATATACTGTGTCATTTCCCTCAGGAACCATCAACTTGAGATCCCTGGGAATATCATATAGGCTGTAGAATTTCTCGAGATTCCCCAGATATATGGCTCCTCGAGTAAAGTAGTTGCGGAGAGCATGATGAAGACTGAGGTCGGGCACCTTCTCCAGATACTTCTCATCTTCTGGAAGGAGGAATTGATTAACCGCCTTGGACTGGATTCAGCGAGACCCAAGGACGGTCTCCCGAACATCGAGGTGACGTTCAGCTTCAAAGTGGAACTCCGGCGCGAGTTCCATCTCATACTTAACACCAGGCAAGGAAAGTCTAATGAGGCACATTCTTATCTTGTCCCAATCTCCTTCCACGCTAGAGAATTTATTCGGAAAAGGATACTTCAGACATACAGAGGGTCCCGTCTCTTCATGAGCCGACTCCTTGCCCCGTCGAGTCGACTCCTGATGACGATTCGACGATTGCTCTCCAACCTGCATCCTCTCCCCGGTTATTTCTTCTAAAGAGGCCTTGGATGATTCTCTCAAGATCGATCTCTCTCTCGAATCACCCAAAGGGACGATATTAGTCTGCTTCTCTTCCTCGCTTGAAGCATTCCTTCAGATTCTCTTTTTCTCCTCCTAAGAGTGAGGGAAGCAGCGTATTTTTTACCGACCAATTGTGTTCCTAAGGAATGGAAATCTTCGCCAAGACGTTTAGCTGGCCTAACAGATGGCTCCCCCCTGGGGATCAACTAGTCTAGCTGTGGGCATCACATTCGCCTCCCTTGATCTAGTGATGAGGACCGTAGACCTATCTATGTCTCGAGAAGCCATCGGCTCAACTGACATCCCGGTCATGCGCAAGACTGATCTATCGAGCAGATCTTCAAAATGGCGAGAGCCTGCGAATCCCTTGATTAAGTCGAGTTGCTTTTTCTCTTCCGAAGACAGCGTGTTTCTAGCAAGAGCATCCCTCCTTATCTCGGGCCAATCGGAACAACGCATCTCTAAATCATCCCCAACCACCCACACAAACTTTTTCTTCCAATCTAAAGATCTACGATCAACTTAAACTTTCCTATCATTTGAAAATGATAATGAGGCTTCTTTTGATTTACCTTTACGGCCACCAAATGAGCGAAAATCTTCAGAGTAGACCAGATTGCTAACCAATGGCATATTATCGCAAATGGCACAACAATGGCTATGGCGTTCAGTTTCATTTGCACAGGCAAAACTCCTAGCGTCTCAAATAGTTGTTTCAGAAATGGAGGCATGGGTAATCTTAAACCGCACTCCATGTGTCTTAAGTAGAGAGGATGCCATTCAGGCCCATAGTTGAAAACAGCCTCTGAACTCGTCGGAGTGAGTAGCTCATATCTTGCAGGGATGTCAAACTTTTTAGACATCGTCCTCAATTGAGATAAGGTTATTTTGGAATGAATGCTTTCCAGAAGATCCCGACGATAAACTATTTCTAAACCCATAGAGAAACAGAAGGATAATTGGCAGGAAAAATGAGCAAAATGACAAAAGAGATTGGGGAAGAAGAACAATTAATCAGAAGGGAATTTGAAAGGGTGATAGCGGCGCATGATGGTTTGATATATAAATATAAAAAACTCCTACTTTACAACTGTTAAGGTTCAAGCCGTTAGAGTCAATTACCTCTTATGGTTAGGATCTATCCTCGAAATTCGAAATTCTTCCGAAAGACGCAACACACCTCCTTTCTTTTACCTCGAAGAACCCGTAATCTGCCAGGAGAACAGCCCTGCTATAGTTATGATGATGCCCGCAGATGTCAGATAGTACAGTTCTTTAAATAAGATCATATCTTCCCTTATTTGACCTTTGATTATTTTATTTCACTTGGACTTGGCTCAAGCCGATTCCAAGCGAAAGGGGCTAACTGTTATGGGGTATATCTATTTCATGGATATATGATCTCATAAGTCGACATCTTGACTAGCCAGACAAGCCGACACTCTTGTGTCGACACGAAAGACGATGTTGGTCGACACGAGAGATCCTGACTTCCCCAACGAGTCAACATATCTATATCGACTCGAGAGACGGTTGTTAGATGGGACAATACGACATTCCAACCAGTCAGACATGCCGACACTCTTGTGTTAACACAAAAGACGGTGTCAGTCGACACGAGAGCCAGCGACTCGAAGTCTTGAAGACTCGTCGGACTGCTAGTTACCAATGTTGCTGAAGTGCTCCCGTCACTCACTAACCAACACGTGTAGAGCAAAGGATAACTCAACTTCCAGCTTACCCCTCACCACCGTCTTACTGTACACTCATGAAGTGACCAATCTGCCCTTAGCATCCCCTATAAATACATATGCTATTCGCCATAGCCAAATAGCCAAAGGTTCGCGATCTAAACCCCCCTAAAGCACACACTGTACAAAAATAAGAAAACACAGTTCTTCTTTAACTCCACTCAAGTTCATCAACCGACTTGATCGTTGGAGGTATCACTGGGGAACTCATCTCCGTCCTCTTACGACTCTTTGTATGCAGATTGCTCGGCCATCCTAATTCCAGAATCCGGCATAAAGTCGAAGAAGAAAGCGACGCCTCCTCTTTTTTTTATATATAAACTTCGTGACTTTAATTGGCTGTGTGATATTTAGCATCAACAGATACTATGGGTTAGGGATTAATCCTTTGTAATGAGTTGTCTAGTAGAAGTTGAATGCTACTGGCCATTCTACTGATAAAAACTAATCCCCAAAGTTTGTTTGTTATAACCTCAAAACATAAGTCCATCAATTTCCTGTTGACTGCCTGACATCTTGCATGTAATTTTCTTTTCTTTCTCCCATGGCGGCACTTACAACTTATGCATTAGTTATAACTGCAACTTATGTACTATATGTTGGATTTTTTAATGCACAGGTATCAGATACCTGAGGATTGGCCATACCAAGAAGCTCGACGCCTGTTTAAAGAGCCTCTTGTCACTAATGACTCAGAAGAGCTTAAGTGGACTCCTCCAGAGGAGGAGGTAAGCAATGGACTCAATGTAGATATTAATAAGTTAATATATCCATATTTTCTTTTTCCTGAAGAGATATATAAATCGCTCTTCATTGCTTAGGGTCTCGTGAACTTTCTGGTGAATGAAAACGGTTTCAACAACGATCGAGTAGTAAAGGTATGTACTTTATTAATCAAAAGAACAATGCTTTCTGTCTGTTGTTATTTCTTAAAAACTATTCATATTTAATTGGTTTTTATTTCTGGTTTACAGTCGATAGAGAAAATTAAAGCAGCAAAGAATAAGTCTTCCCAGGGCCGGTAAGGATTTTAACATGAGATTTCTTGGCTTTTCAAACCTTTTCAGACATATAACACATTGTTTTTTGGATCTTTACAGATTGGAATCTTTTTTCAAGCCAGTTGTGGGTACATCTGTACCTGTTAAGCGCAAGGTATGTACCGTGTACTTCAAATGTTAAGCATCATGCTCCATTATACTTTATCCAAGAGGAAAAGGGTGCTCCCCTCTTCCTCCACGTTCCCATAAATTGATTCCTGGAATATGGGAACGTTGATTTCTAGGTTGTTTTCAGTCCCTTGAGAGCAAATTTCAGTTCGAAATCCTATTTGAACACTGTAACTGAAGAAAGCAAGTTATACCAGCTCCTGATTATTTAATGGAATTGTACAGAAGGCCCAATTTTTTAATGCTTAATGAAGTGACTTCAGAGCTCCTTTTTTGCCACAAGTGCTCTTGAACCATAGCCAGACAAGTTCTGTTTTAAACATTATACATGTTTGTATGGATGACACTGACGTAGGAGACTAGCTTGCAGAATCTGCCGGAAAATGTTTCTCTTCAAATTATTTAGGTTTTTATTAACATGTTTCCTGTCACCTTCTAAATCTTGACCGGCTTGAGTATTCAAGTATTATCTAATGACTTGTATTGCTTAGAAGAACAAATATACACTCTGAAGTGAAGCTTCTTTTTGATTACGTGATTAAAGAGTACTTCCTTAATTCTGTGATATCTGGGTGACAGGGAACCCGATGTGCGCTTGGTGATGCCAAATTGGCACTCAAGCCTAGGATGCTTACTCTGCATGTCACTATGTCCTCAGACGCCAAAGTTGGCAGAGTAAAAATGCCAAATCCACAACTTGGTTTCAGATGCCGCAAAACATCTATAGCGGGACTTTGTTTCAGCCGGTGACATGTAGAAATTTGCTGAACCTTAGAAAGTGAAAGCTAGTCCTATTATTTACCTGTACTTTTAATTGAATAGCAGCTGATACAATGTACATTATCAGCTAATTTTTGTCACAAAGATGCTTGTGCTATAAAAATCAGAAAAGAAGATGAAAATTTTGAAACGTTTTCCTTTTCTGATAGCTTCTACCATAAATGTTTTTTTTAAAGTTATGGTTACGGGTCTACTGAAATCAGCTGATAAGTATTTCTGTTGCTTGTCTGCCTCTAAATTCACTCTCACAGATTAATTTAAATCTACAGTTGTCAATGCGAACCGTTTACTGTGTGTTGATATCTTGTATCCATATGTTACCCCCGCATTTAAATTTTCTTTCATAATACTAGTCTTTGTCTCTGAAACCCACATTACTAATGTTTCAGGAGTCTCAAGACAAGACGGCAAAGGAGCCTGCTAACAAGAAGGCTAAGGCTGGTGGTAGAAAGAAGAAATAGTCCAAAAATGCCTTCAAATTATGAACCTTGAATTAACTTGGAGACGACGAGTGTTGCTGCAGAGTACAAAAGTGTATGAGGTGGTTTTCGGTTTTCCCCTTTGCTTGTCTAACAGCGCGATCTGATATATCCTTGTACCTTTTGCTTGCCAATGCCACAGACTTGACTAAAATTATCAGACTCTGCTGCAGTTAAATCTACATGTAATTGTCCATAACGATGTGCAAGTTACATGAAGTCTGTTGCTGGTTCATGGTAATTTATCCACGAAGTATTCTGGTTGAGCAAGTCACTGTACAGCGTGAACATTTTTTTCTAGCGTAGGCCAGATCATTGCAAACTATCTTACGGTTTAGCGTCTGAGATAAAATTTTGAGCGCGTTTCACAAAATATCCCAATACATTGGGGCGTTATCGTGGAAGCCGCCAGTACTTTCGCTTTGCAATTGGAGGACAATATTATCTGCTAAATTCTGTTAAATCAATTTCTGTCTAGGCCATCTTCTTCTCTTCTCCTTATTTTGAAGGGTTTTCAGAGAGAATGTAAAAGTTTTGGATGCATACGGTAATTGTGATAAGTCGAGAGGTGATATTTTCTAAACTACAATTACGACTAAAGGTGTTCCGCAAAATTATTTAAGCTATTTTTTATTAGAGAAATACCACAAAATATACGTAAGCCTTTGGATATTTGCAAGTTTACTCTTCAAATCTGTATTGGTTCTCTACCCCTCAAGTCTCAAATATCAGTAACATACCTATTATTAAATTAGTTAATTATATTAATTTACAATCTGTGGGGAAGAAGAGGCAGACAATTCCCCATCTTTTCTCTTTCAACCAAAAAAAAAAGAAGGTTTATGGGCGTCTATCAGTGCTTTTGAAAAGTAGGGGTTAAAAAAAGCCAACGTGGAAGAGATTTAGGGGGAAAATAGAAAAATACCCGTTACCCACATTCAGAAGACGGGTTTGCAAATGAGATAAGTTTAGAGGGTATACATGCAAAAGGGCCTCGAATGCTTTGCCAGCAAAATACCTGCACATCATCATCACCAACTACCTCCAAAAATGTGCCTTGGCGCCAACAAGCTCGTCAGCCTCCTTCAAGGCTGCAACAGCATGAAAAAGCTCCTCAAAATTCCACGCCCAAACCGTAACCAACGGCTGCCAGCACCACCCCCCGTCTCCTCCAAGCTCCTATCCTTCTGCGCCGTCTCGCCCTCCGGCGACCCCTTCCTACGCCACCTCCTCTTCTCCCGCTCCAAAACCACGACCGGAAGACTACAACTCCGTCATCCGAGGCTCCTCGGCGGTGCCCACCCTCTCCTCTTCCCTCTCCCTGTACAACTCGATGAGGGCGGGCTCGAGCCCGACCCCGTCACCTTCTCCTTTGTTTTCAAAGCGTGCGAGCGGGCCGCGGAGGGGGGCAAGTGCAGGGAGGTCCACGGGTCGATCGTCCGCCTCGGGTTCTGTTTTCATGCCATCGTGTGCACCAACCTTGTCAGGTACGTCACCGCCCTGAGGCGACGGCTTGCCGCCTCTGCGGGGACAGATGAACGCAACCGTGAACCAGCGGGGTGTTTTCTTTTTTTTTTTTTAATATTTAAATGATTTTTATGGCGTCGAAATGAAAAAATACGGATTAATGCGAACGAATAAAATAAATAGGGAATATGTCGTGTGGGTTGAAAACTAATGAACGAGAGATTCGATCGTTGCTCTAACCCGTTTCGGCAATGTAGGTGTTACGCGGGAATCGGGTACCTTGATGACGCCCGAAAGGTGTTTGCTGAAATGCCTCACAAGGATTTGGTCTCTTGGAATTCGATGATTTCATGCTACGGTAGGATGGGCTTGCATGAGGAGGCTTTGAGATTGTTTAAAGAGATGAGGGATTTGAATGTGGGCCTCGATGAGTTTACGATGGTTGGTTTGCTCTCTTCTTGTGCTCATGTGGGTGCTTTAGGCTTGGGCGAGTGGATTTACCAGATTGCAGTGGAGAATGGGGTTCTGGAGAGGAATGTGTTTGTGGGTAATGCGCTTATCGACATGTATGCTAAGTGTGGATTTTTGGATGGGGCTCGCCGTGTTTTTGATATGATGTGGAAAAGGGATGCATTTACTTGGAACTCCATGATCGTTGGATTGGGAATTCACGGGCGTGGAGAAGAGGCCATTTTATTTTTTGACAGAATGGTGATGGCTGGAATCAAGCCAAACTCAATCACGTTCCTTGGATTGTTGATGGCGTGCGCACACCAAGGCCTAGTCCAAGAGGGTTTCAAATACTTTCAAATGATGAGCTCGGAGTTCAATTTGAGGCCAGATTTTAAGCATTATGGCTGTGTAGTGGACTTATTTGGACGCGCCAATAAAATTGACGAGGCGGTTCATATTATTAGGAATTCAAATTGTGCTGATGATCCTGTCCTGTGGCGGACATTGCTAAATGCTTGTAGGATTTATAAGAATGTGGATATGGGTGAAGTTGCTATGAGAAATCTTGTTCAATTGTCGGCTCATAATGCTGGTGATTGTGCCTTGCTTTCTGAGATTTATGCCCACAAAGGAGATACTATAAGTTTTGCGAAGATGAGGAAAATGGTTAAGATGCAAGGGATTAAGACTACACCAGGATGGAGTTGGATCGAAGTGAATGGTACTGTAAGAAAATTTATCGTTGGTGATATTTCACACCCTGACACAAAAGTGATTCATAAGAAGCTCAAGGAAATAATAAGCCAGGCAGTTTTGAAAGGTTATAATAGCGAGAAATCTAAGTCATTGACAGAGGAGAATTATAATGGGGAATGGATGGAAAAAAGAGGGGGTTATCATAGTGAGATGCTAGCAATTGCCTATGGAATTTTGAGATCTCCCGAACAAATGACTCTTAGAATTGTGAAAAATTTGAGGGTGTGTGAGGATTGTCATTCTCTGACAAAGTACATATCACTAGCTTTTGGTTGTGAAATTGTTGTTCGTGATAGGGTGCGGTTTCATCACTTCAAAGATGGATTTTGTTCTTGCAACGACTATTGGTGAAGTTATTTTACAATAATCATGTTGGTTCTGATGAACACAAACTTCCAAAAGGACTATTTGTGAAGACCTTTTGGGAATGAGCAACAAACTCATCGAGAGGGAGCTGGCTCTGGAGTTGTACACTAATTTATGAGGCTATGCAAAAGGATAGTGTTCTTCTATTCAAACCTCATCACTCGCGAAGGACTGCAGGCTGCAAATTTTCCTTTTGGAGAGTTAGAAAAGGGACTCTGTCCTTGTCTAACATCTTGTTGAAAGGTCAGTAAACAGTTATTGGTTGTTGTGATGATTTTACTGAAAGATGTCTTCTTTTGTTTCTCACTCAATTTTGGATGCGTGAATAAAATGAGAATAAGTACTTTAATAGAGAAGTAAATTTGAAAAATTGTGTACAGAAGTAATATTTAAGCATCTACAATCACAAAAACTGTGGGGAAATCTTGCTCATTCGATTGGGTGAAATGATTTGTCTAACTCTAGCCATGTTAGATACCAGGTTATCATGCAATATTTATGATTGGTTGATCTTGATGTAAGTCTGTTTCCATCAAAATGCCTATGCTATGGTGCACAATTCAAAATCTACATGGTTCCGTAACAATACTGACCAAATTAGATGGCTTCCAAACCAATGTCGAGATTATGAGTTGGTTGCAAATTCGTTCATTACTGTGAGAAAACAGTAAATCAAGCTACACATTAGATTATTACTCTAACAGTTAAAGCTAAGTAGCTAACATAATCCAGTGTATAAACTCCCCAACTTTTTCCTAACATAAAAGTATATAACAAAGCGGAAGACAATAAGAGTTGCAATTAGGGAACTTACGTAACTTTACAAGAAAAGATAAGAGATGAAGGTTGATTGAACAATCTAACTCAGAAACCTTCTTAGCAGACGATACGAATATAGCTATTGTGGTGTCAGACCATATCAATTTTGCAATTTAGGAAAGAATGTGCACTCTGATCAGCGTTCTTATATTGTCACCCATTTAAATGAATATCTATAGCCAAAATAGTCTTTAGGAAGTGAGAATTTAGAAAACCAGTGGCGTCATTTAACAATTATATATTGTGGAAATAAAGACCTATCTCAAGAATTACGAAATTATATTATTCATATAGTTTGGATGGAGCAGTTTATGTACATTAATTATGTTAATGTATTTATAAAATAATTGTCAAAGTGTAATAACCCAGATAAAGATATATAAAAAAATAATAATAAATAAATATAATAATAATAATAATAATAATAATAATAATAATAATAATAATAATAATAATAATAATAATAATAATAATAATAATAATAATAATAATAATAATAATAATAAATAATAATAATAAAATCACACGTCGGTGATTTTTCCACCGCTCAACATGGCGGTAATTCTCGTCACCACCTCCCAACAATATATAAAGGGGAGGAAAGGGGAGAAATTCAGGTTAAAAGAAAAAAAAAGAGAAGAAGAGGAAGATGATCAGGTAAAGAAGTAATATAAAGGGAGGAAAAATTTCATTAAGCCCCTGAACCATGTGAGAATTTCGAACAGACCTTAGTAATATGAGTTATGTTTGAAAAAGGATTGAAAAATCTCTGTTAGGCCCCTATCATTTACTCTACTTGTAAACAAGTCCAATCTGAAGAATAAAAGTTAATTTTAGACTTGATAAATTCCCTATAACCCCTGTATTATTATAAATTATTAGGAAGTCAGAAGCTAGTATATGAGAGTTATAAATTTTTGATAAATTGTTAAAGTTAATAATAAGCTCATATGTACTGTAGAATGTAATTATTATTGATTATATCTGAATTTATTAGACTCTAGATTATGAATTGATTTACCTATAATATATGTTTGTTCTGAATTAATAATTAGTCTTATACCTTACATTATAGGTTCTGGTTGATATTCAGGGGAATAATAGTTCAGAAAGTCGTGACCACTAGAGGTGAGTTCATTTCTCACTAGTATTTTATAATATGAAATTTCATGAGTTTTATATTTGATTTATCTTGTGATGAAAAAAAAATATGTCTTTTCATGTATACTAAAGATTTGACCTATGTCTTGTGGTCTATCCTATAATATGATGTTAGCCTCGTACAATATATGAAAAGTCAATTTGAACTTTATGTAAAATATGAAAAATAAATTTGGCTCTCATGTAATTTTCAAACAATTATGGATTTTGTTATATCTGAAAGTTTTTATTGAAGTATTTGGAACGTATTTCAACAGTAATGGATTCAAAGATTTTTCGTGACTTAGTATCTGATAAAAAAAATAAATATCCGTAAACTGTTTTAACAGAAATGAGAAGCTTTACCTTGTCAACTTCACTTGAAAATATCTGTAAATTCTGATATGCAAAGTATTACTCATTTGATATGTAATCTCAATGTTTTCAAACCCTCAAATAGTCCACTATGGATTGTTTCTGCCTGCCATATGGTGAATGCACAAACCCTCAAATAGTCCACTATGGATTGTTTCTGCCTGCCATATGGTGAATGCACCTTTATTTGGCCCTTCTGTATTCAAATAGTCCACTATGGATTGTTTCTGCCTGCCATATGGTGAATGCACCTTTATTTGGCCCTTCTGTATTAGCCTTGGCCCTTCTGAAATTTGTTCTGACCCATCTGTATTTGGCCAGTAACCTATGACAGTGTTAGGTGCATTCGATTTCCGGGAATTATCTGTTATGTGATGCGGTTACGCATTCCCTTGCTACTGGGCTATAATTCGTAGCCTTAGTGTGACCTATGGGGTGACTTTTATATTCATGAATAACTCATCGAGAAATAAGATTCTGATAATTGTTTGTGAAATTGAGAAAACAACAATTCTCTGGTTTTGTACAAATTAGTAGTTCTTTTCTTTCTTAATGTTTACCTTGATTCAGAAAGTGTTTGATTTCAGGAAATATCTCAGTTGCACATAAGAAAGAAAATATAATTGTTGCATTCTTTCTTGAAAACGACAATATTATGATATTTGGATCGTATTTTGTTACCTTTGAATTTCTCATGCAAAACTTATAATTAGTTATTTCTTAGAATTATTCTTATTACTATTTTGTTAGTTATCTAGGAACTCTAGTGGGAAATGTTCTCATTGAGCGCTAGCTCACCCATTGTTTTTAATTTTTTTTTTCAGATCTGGCGTAGCTTCATAGTAGCCGAACTTTTGGTTTGAGCTTTTGGCTGAGAGGCGTGATATGGAGAGCCTCTTCTTTTTGATGTTACCTTCAGCATATTTTATTTTGTTTTGTAAAAATGCTTATAACGGTGAGCTTGTGGGCTGTAAGTACAGATCATATATATAGTTGCTCTGACTTTTATCATCAGCAAGTTTATGAATATTTTAAAATAAGCTATGTGATATGAAGTGCCAGGCTTGACCCGTGTATAAGACTTGTCTTAGGCACTGGTCGCTGCTGTCGCGCACCCCGTATTTTATGAAATTTCGCTGCAGTTTCGAGGCGTGACACAAAGTAACAACTAAGACATTACAGAATTTAGAAAATGCAGAAAAGGTATTTTATTTTATTTATATGCATGCCAATGACAAGGACGATGACACTTGATTCATCGTCGTAATGTTGGCAATGAATGGCTATGGTAATGAGTCTACTGACAGTAGCACTAGGTAAAGTAGTGGCGATAATAGAGATAAACATGCACATGATGGTTAGAAACATCTGGCACAAAACTAAAATGATGCTTCGTACTAACTACAATGCCTAGATGTTCGATGCTGGACTTGGTGGAAGCAACACCATTAGTTTGTCGATGTTAGAAACATCAGTAGGATGTATGACAATAATTTTATTTTCATTTTCTATCAAGAAAACAGTACTATGTTTAGAATCTTTTTATTACTGTAACTCTATAAATGTATATATTCTACTCCCATCTCCCGTCAGCCCGTCATGCTCTTTTGTTTTATCAGCATGGCATAATGCATGCCAAATTTAACAACCCCCCCCCCCCCCACCCCCCCCCCGCCCCCCGGGCGTAAAGTCAAATAGAAGAATTACTTGAGTAGTAAGCATAGTCTGGGTCTCTAAATTGGATACACTCAGAACACTTACTGAAAGCATTACTGTAAGATTTGTTTGCTTGGGCGGATCTTGGTTCCTCACTAGACTACCTTATTAAAACTGCAATGAAATGGATATGATTCACCATCTCTTTCCTCTAAAGGGGCAGAACACAATTATCCGGTCCAGTTAACTCGAGTGTAATAAGGTTAACTCATATCTAGATGTGAAATTGTACAAGTTGCCATCTTAGAGAGAATGAAACAAAAGGAATAAGTTTCTGAAAATAACCTCTTTAAGAGATGGTGCTGGTAGTGCAAAATCATGTAATATATAGCAACTCACCTGTTAAAAACAAATATTTAATGATGAGATATCAGATTGAGTGAATATGTTTCATTACAGTTAAGGTTGAGAAAAATCCAGTGTATCAATCATGTGCTAATCAAATTCATTTAGACATGGCAGATACTGGAAACCCAACAGTTTAACTAATATGGCCTGAGCATATTTATGGAAAGAAATAAATTCCATTGCATTTTTAGATGTCCTTGATAATCTTGGCTTAGGCTTAGTTAGTATTATAAATAGATTACCAATCCCCTACTAGATTTCAAGAATTCATCGATTACTATCCAAAATGAAAATAATCCATTCTAGCCTTAGCATCTACATTATAGTTGTGTTGTTCCAACACCAAGTAAGTGGTCAAGGAGTGAGCGGTTTCGTGCAAACGAGGGGAACTCAGTTCATTTTGAATGGCACGCCATTCAACTTCAATGGTTTTAATTCCTATTGGATGATGATTGTTGCCTCGGGGGCGACTAACCAGAGTTCAAGTGTGCCTTCGGTCTTGCAGCAAGCTTCTCAGCATGGGCTCACTGTTGGCAGAACCTGGGCTTTTAGTGATGGTGGTGCCTTTCCTCTTCAAACGTCTCCTGGTGTCTATAATGAGGACATGTTTAAGGTAAAATATTCAAATATTTTCACAGTTTTCTTTTCATTTTGGGTTAATTTTTTAAAGCTGAATGCACCTCTTGTAGTTCCTTAACTCCAAAAAGAAAATACGCCAGATATCAGATAAAGTTAGAAGACCTTATGCATAAGAAGAAGTTTCACCACTATAAATGAATATATATTTGAATATATGACACTGCATGAATAGAGAAACCAAATGATACGCAGCCAAGCTAAAATGATATGGAATTCTTTTAATCAGAACTGAAAGAAATTTTACAGAAAAGAACTGTCTGCGTATCTTCTTTCTTTTATCCAAAATTCTGGCAGTGAAACCTTATCGCAAAATAGCTTTCAAAAGTAGGGCTTCACTGCTTTAAATCCTGCAGATGTTACATTAGGAGATCCTCACAAAAGGAAAAGGGAAAACAGTTGTACAAGCTGAGATCCATGACATTTACTTACTGATAAACTCCTGTACTATTGGCCAATTGCAGATAGACCCCCTGAGTGAATTTTTTTTAATACTCTTTTACTCTAAGGAGGTTTATTTGTCAGAAGTTCACTCAGTGGGTCTATTTGCAGTTGGATGATAGTACAGGGGGTCCATCCGCAATTGGGCGATAGTAGGGGGTTTATATGCGGTTAACCCTTTCATTATATTGACTCATGTGTATACATAAGGGTTAAGTGCGGATAGTCCCCCTACAGAATTGTTGTTTTGAATTGCCAGTCCTCTAGTTTTATTTTTGCGGACAGACCCTTTGAATGGAACATTTCTGACTCTTTTTCATCGGGGGAAGAGAAACTTGCTTTTTGAACAAATAGGCCCCATTAGGGTAAAAGAGCGAAACAATTTCACCCATGGGGTTTATCTGCAAAAATAAAACTGGAGGGGTAGTCAGTTCAAGATACTACAAAGGATCTACCTGCAGAAATACAGCTAGAGGGGTAGTAGGTCTAAGACTACGATACTAAGGGGATCTATCCACAATTAACCTATATACAATGGCATTAATGAACTATTTGTGCAGGCATTAGATTGGGTGGTATCTGAAGCTGGAAAGAATGGTATCCGTCTTATCATGAGCTTGGTCAATAACTATCCTAATTTCGGAGGGAGAACACAGTACGTTCAATGGGCAAAAGAGGGGGGCCAGAGCTTAAACTCAGACGACGACTTTTACACAAACGACGTTGTCAAGGGTTACTACAAAAACCATATCATGGTTCGTCTTAAGCTTAATCAAGTTTTATCTTGTAATGTGTCTATCAGATACTAGCTAATTATTCGTTATATATGTGTTATTTGCAACAAAAAAATGGAAAATAAAAAAAAATAAAAAATCAGACTGTTCTGACGAGGAACAACACGATAACGGGAGTCGTGTACAAGGATGATCCAGCAATTTTCGCATGGGAACTCATCAACGAACCAAGGTGTGAAAGTGATACTTCTGGCAAAACATTACAGGTTCGTATCCTACATATGTACATACATAGATATACATACATAACGCAAACTAAATCAATATTGATTCTTAAGAATGGATTGAATGATTTAAACGTGCAGGCTTGGATCGGTGAGATGGCTTCGTATGTGAAGTCTATAGATACAAATCATTTGGTCGAAATTGGCGGTGAAGGTTTCTATGGAGCATCCATGCCTGACAGAAAGGCTCTGAATCCCTATGCTTCCCTGTACGGAACAGACTTTGTCCCTAACAATCAAGTCCCAGAGATTGATTTTGCTACTATTCATGCATATCCAGATTCTTGGTACCCCAATTCAAACTTTTGCGCTATGTTTTATTTAATTGCAGATAGACTTCTCTGAAGTATTGCATTGTGGTACTTTATGAACATTTAAGTTCGATATTGACAGATACATCCCTTGTGAGAAACTTTTCACTTTTTCACCCGTGAATTTTTTTTGACTCTCACCCTCATGGGTCTATTTGCCACCCACAAAAAAAAAGGACAATCCCCTTAAGGGTAAAAAAAAGTCAAAATTTCACTCACGGAGTATATCTGTCAATATTAAACTTAAAGGGATAGGTGCCATAACGCGATACTACAGGTTTCAAACAACCCTTTCTTTTTCTAAATAGATTATCTGCCTAATAACTAAACAAAAAATTAATAATAATAACTAAAACTTGCAGGTTGCCAGGAAAAAGTGACAAGGATCAGCAAACTTTCATGTCCAACTGGACTCAGGCCCACATCCAGGATACAGCCCAGCTGTTAAAGAAGCCACTTGTGATCGGTGAGTTTGGAAAATCCTTAAATGGCTCTTCTGAGGCCCAGAGAGATGCCCTGTTTTGGGTTGCTTACGATGCGGTATATTATTCTGCCAAAGCTGGCGGGCCTTTGAGTGGCGGGCTTTTCTGGAACTTACTGGGCCCAGGAATGGATGAGTTGAGAGATGGTTATGAGGTTATCTTTCCTGAGGAACCATCTACAGGAAGCGTTATCGATCAGCAGTCTCAGAGGATATCTAAGCTTAATTACTAAAAGCTTGGAGTTGATTCAATAAATTTCAAAAAGCTTGGATCAAATACTGAAAACTGTTTTCGTTTTTCATTTGTTTCTCTTTGGGGGAAAAGTAATTATAATGTATTTTTATATCCCTGTTTATCTTTCTCTGAGATTTTGAGAAAGTAGATGGAAAATTAAACTGGGAATAGAAATTTAAAATTTTTTTTCTTCTTTAAAACCCTCTTTTCATTATAGTTTCAGTTTAACTATTGCACCCTCAGGTGGTGTCTAAGCCTAATCATTAAATTTGGACTCGGAAGATGTTTGGTAAGTGAAAAACAAATTGAGAACGGATTAGCATTGAAAAATGGTTTCACTTTCTACTTTGGTTATCGAAAAGTAGCAGTAACGAGAATCATTTATCACTTGGAATTAAACTGTTCAGTAGAGGATTCATAGCATCAGCCCGCATCTTCTGATCAATCCGAGCAAAATCTTATATATATATATACTTGACATAATTTGGAGTAAATTGCAGCTGGATCAAAATCTAAAAAATATATATATACTTGACATAATTTGGAGTAAATTGCACTGGATCGTCAAAATCCGCCTCCAATTCCCCGATCTGCCGTTGACAAGTCAACTTAATTAGCAGAAGGCGACGG